AGGTATTTGCCTCTGCTCTGTTGATATTGAACTTCCCCGTTGCTCAGACCTGCCTTGCATTTCCATATGTCAGGGCCTTTTCCTGTGATGTTCCTTGGTCTCCTGTTCCTTCTTCATGGGGTAATACACTCTTGCTCCCCACCTCAAGATCTAACTGATCTAATCCCCTCTCCTTTGCCTGATTGGGTTTCATAAACTAAAGAACTTTCATTTTAGAATTTACATATGCAAATGTACATCTCTGTGGCCTGTGTTACAACACCTCCCTCCTTTTTAAAAATTTTACTTTGGTACTAGGGATTGAATCTAGGAACATCCCGAGTAGGGACCCTGAGCTACATCCCCAGTTCTTTTTAGTTTTTATTTTGGAAAAGATCTCACTAAGTTGCTTAGGACCTTGCTAAATTGCCAGGCTGACCTTGAATTTGCAATCTTCCTGCCTCAGACTTCTGAACTGCTGGGACTAAAGGCATGCACCACCACAACTTTTTTTTTTTTTGGTAAGTCTGTTTTTCCCCTGTCCTCCTTAAGGGCCTCATTCATCCCTGTATCTTCCTTCCTCCTGTCTTTCCTTCATTCATTCAACAAATCTTTTTTGAGTGCTTGCTTGTCCCAGGCGTGGGAGCAGCTCAGTCAATGTCTGTTCCAGGGATGAATGAATTGGTGAGAGGTTGCTACCCCATGGATGCTGGGTTGCTTAGTTACAAACTCTAGTGATGATTAGAGAAGAGGGGGCGAGACTGCTGTTGTGTGAGATGAGAGTAAGTGTCTACACGTTCCCCTGCAAGATCAGGGAAACTTTGTGGGCGGAAGTTTCACACTTCAGTGCTAACAAAGTGGCAGGGGTGAGGTTTGGGCTTCTGGCAAGGATTTCATTGTTAGTGGGTAGAGGATGGGGAGAAGGGACAGAAAAAGGGAGTTGTTTAAGAATTCTTCCAATGCACAGGATGAGTTTGTTTGCTTCTGTGGTTCTAGGAACCAAACCCAGGGCCTTGAGCATGAGAGGCAAGTGTCTACCACTAAGCTACATCCCTAGCCTCGATGAGCAGTTTGAAAACTCCCTAAGACAATATCTTTATTGAAAACTCCCTAAGACAATCCTTTAAGTTGAGAATCACTAAGTTAAAAGCTTTCTAAATGAGTACTGAAGGAACAGGTTCAACATAAGTGTTTACCTAGGTGCCTGTAAAGGCCAGGCACAAAACATGTAAGTGGCTGATGCTAAAAGAGGAGAATGTGGCTGTCTGGAGGGAACTACTGCTACTCAGCACAAAGACAAGGTCACCTGGAGGAGTTGTAGGCCCAGTGTTGCATGATCTTCCAATTTTTCAGTAGAGGCCACAAGTTCAGGTTTTTTGTTTGTTTGTTTGTTTTTAATATTTTATTAGTTGTTGTTAGACATTTATTTATTTATATGTGGTGCTGAGAATTGAACCCAGTGCCTCACATATGCTCTACCACTGAGCCACAACCCAGCCCACAAGTCCAAGTTTTAATGTGAAATCTCCTAAGTTTTCAGTGTTGAAAAGTAGATCAAGCCAGGCATGATGGTGGCTCATGCTCACAATGCCAGCTCTACTCAGGAGGATCCCAAGTTTGAAGCTAGTCTTAGTAACCCAGTGAGACCCTTTCTCAAAACAAAATATAAAAAGATCTGATGCAATGGGGTTGTGGCTCTGTGGTAGAGCACTTGCCTAGCACTGGGTTTGATCCTCACTACCACAAAAAAATAAATAAGATATCTTTTCATCTACAACTAAAAAAAAAAAAATTAAAAAGGACTGGGGATGTAGTTTAGTGGTAAAGTGAACCTGAGTTTAATCCCCAGCATAGCAAAAAAAAACAACAACAAAACTATATTAGTTTTGCAAAGCCAGGGGTTTTCAGATTCTCGTCTTTCTCCCTCCCAACACTGCTAACAACACCTTCTTTCTTCAGTGCCTTCCCAGCACCAAACACAGCTCCTGGTACACAGTGCTTGTTAGATGCCATTGTGTGTCCATAAGTCTCAGTGTCTCTCTTACCTCTGATCTTCCCTCATTGACTAGTAGGTTTCTATACATATCTGTCAGCTGGCTCCCCCTCTAGTCTGTCAGCATCTTGGGAGCTAAGTTAGGGTTCTTCAGAGAGACAGACCCAATAGGATATTAGATATAGATATTTGAGAGGAGATTTATTAGGGAAACTGACTTCAGCGATTACCGAGGCCAAGAAGTCCCCCAATGGGCTGTTTGTAAGCTGGAGATCCTGGGATGCCAGTTGTATGGCTCAGTCCAAGTCCAAAGGCCTCAGAACCAGGAAGCCAATTGTATGATTCCCAGTCTGAGGCCAGGCCCTTGAGAAGCCAGTGTGAGGGGGTTGCATTGGAAGTCCTGGAGTCAAGGCCACAGAGCCTGGAGTTCTGATGTCCAAAGGCAGGAAGGGGAGGGACCTTGCTCCAGCTCCAGGAGAGAGAGGAAATTTGCCTTTTCTCTGCTTTTTTGGTTCTATGTGGCCCCCAGCTGATTGGATGGCCTCTGCCCACACAAAGGGCAGATCATCCCACTTGGTCCTCCAACTCCCAGGCCACTCTCCAAAACACTCTCCAAGACACACCCAGTGATAATGCTTTGTCATTTCCCTAGGTGTTACTTTTTTTTTAACTTTACCACTTCTGTCTTTTTTGTTGTTGTTGTTAATATTTATTTTTTAGTTTTCAGTGGATATAACATCTTTGTTTGTATGTGGTGCTGAAGATCAAACCCGGGCCACTCGCATGCTCCCGCTAGAGCCACATCCCCAGCCCCCCAGGTGTTCCTTAATTCATCAAGTTGACACCTAAAATAACCCATCCCAAGGGCGGTGAAGAGCAATGCTTATAAGTCGTCTTTCACAGCAAGGCCTTGGGGGAACCCAGGCCTCAGGCAAGTGAAGGACTGTGTTGTGGATTTAGCGAACAGGTTAGGTAGGGTCTAAAGGGTAGAGCTGGGGCTTTGCAGTCAGAGCTGAATTTATTAGAAGGAAGCGTGTTTACCAATGAGATAGATGGCCTGCGGGGAGGGAATGAGCTCTCTATCCCTAGAGGTCTCTGAAGAGAAGTGATTTGACCACCACCAAAAATGTTGAAGTGAGAGGCTATGTTGACCTGTTCCTACAAACACAGCCTTGTGTCTAGCTCTTTCACCTGTGGACCTGGGCCAATGGCATTGGCAAGGGATGGGTTTAGACAGAAAGCTAAGAGAGATCACTCCATAGCACTGTCACTGCTGACTCTGAAGATACACCATACCCACCACTCCTCCTGCTCTGGGTCTTTCCTCTGATGGTCTGCATTTGTCTGATAGGCAGCAAAGAAGAGAAAGAAAGCACAAGTTTACACAGCCACTGAATGGCCATTTCTATGTGCTTTTTTAGGGGGAGGAGCTTCAATGGTATAGGATTTACTGAGACACTAAATACATTCCCCAAACTCCTGCCATTGAAGCCAGCCTAGGTGGATGGGTGTCATGAGACTAAACTGCTGCACAGTTGCCTTGGAAACCAAATTTGTTAGTGATAAAACCTCAGAACCACAACAGAGAGAAAGCTGAAACCTACAACCTGTTCAGGGTTTCTCTAGTAGAGAGAAGCCCTGGGTGTTTAAGGAGAGCTCATGAGATGGAGCTAGGTGGTCCTCAAAATGAGGAAGTGGGGCTGGGGTTGTGGCTCAAGGGTAGAGCACTTGCCTAACATGTGTAAGGCCCTGGGTTTGGTTCTCCGCACTTCATATCAATAAATGAACAAAATAAAGGTCCATCAACATCTAAAAATTTTTTTAAAAAATAAATTTAAAAAAATTAATTAATTAGGGGCTGGGGATGTGGCTCAAGCGGTAGTGCGCTCGCCTGGCATGTGTGCGGCCCGGGTTGGATCCTCAGCACTACATACCGGCAAAGATGTTGTGTCTGCCGAGAACTAAAAAGAATAAATATTAAAATTCTCTCTCTCTCTCTCTCTCTCTCTCTCTCTCTCACTCAATCTCTCTCTTTAAAAAAATTAATTAATTAAAAAAAGAGGAAGTGGGAAGTGGGGTTCTGGGCATCCATTTGCCAATGCAGCAAAGAAGTCAGGTGGGTCAATTCAAGAGTGTGTGGAACCCATCAAAGAGTGTAGGCAAGAGCTGGGACCTTCTTCTTTCTCTATTAATTTTGCACTACTGGGAATTGAACCCATGGCCTCGGACATGCTAGGCAAGCTCTCTGTCACTGAGCCACATCCCCAAACCTGGGCTGGACCCTTCCTACACTAGGATCAAGAACGTATGCTCTGCTGGGTGCAGTGATGCACACCTGTAATCCTAGCAATTTGGAAGGGTGAGGCAGGAGGATTGCAAATTTAAGGCCAGCCTCAGCAACATAGCAAGGCCCTCAGCAACTTAGTGAGCCTCTGTCTAAAAATAAAAAGTAAGGGCTTGGGTTATGGCTCAGTGGTAGCGTGCTCGCATAGCATGTGTGAGGCACTGGGTTCAATTCTCAGTACCACATGTAAACAAATAAATGAATAAAGGTCCATCAATAACTAAAAAAAAGTATAAATAAATAAATAAATAAAAAGGGCTGGGGATGTAACTCAGTGGCTAAGCACCCTTGGTTTTAAAAAAGAACATATGCCCTTGTGGGCTTGCTGTGTCACAATGACTAGGTGAATTCCCACTCTCTCTTTCTCTCTCTTTTTTCCCCCGAATCCTGGGAACTGAATCCAGGGTTGCTCTAGCACTGAGCTATACCCCCAACCCTTTCTATTTTTAATTTTAAGTTGCAGAGACTGACCTTGAATTTGTGATCCTCCTGCCTCAGCCTCCTGGGACACTGGGATCACAGGTGTGCCCCACCCACTGGGTGTGGCCTTCGTCTCAGAATTCTTATTCCCTCTGTTTTTTATTTTTTATTAGAATGTCATAATTATACGTTGTAATTGGGTTCCTTTTGAAAAAAATCACACATGGAATCATGCATGGAATTTACTTTCAAGCCCCATCCCTCCCCACTTTTCCTCCCTTCTCCCTCCCCCTATTCTCCCTCCTCTACTTTTATTAGACTTTCTTCGTTCTACATATACACAAAGGTGAAATTCCCTTTGGTACCTTAATATGTGAGTATAACATGATTATGTTAAATTCATTCCATTTATCTTCCCCTTTCTCTTCCTTCCTCTCTCCCTCTCAATCTTCTTCTACTCCACTGATCTCTCCTGTATCTTTATGATATCCTGTATCTTTACAATATCAGATCCCCTCCCCAACCACCTTCTTTTTTTAAAAGATATTTTCATAGTAAATGGACACAATATCTTTATTTTATTTTATTTTATGTGGCGCTGAGGATTGAACCCAGTGCCTCACACCTGCTAGGCAAGCTCTACCAACTGAACTACAACCCCAGCCCCTCAACCATCTTCTTTTCTTTGTTTTGCTCTCACTTTCACGTATGAGAGGAAACATTTAACCCTTAACTTTCTGTCTGGCTAATTTTATTTAGCATGATTTTCTCCATTTCTATCTATTTACTAGTAAATGCCCTTATTTCATTCTTCTTTATGGCTGAGTAAAACTCCATTTTGTATATATACCACATTTCTTGATCCATTTATCTCTTGATGGGCATCTGGACTGATTCCATAATTTGGCTATTGTGAATTGTACTGCTATACACATTGAAGCGACTATATCACTGTGGCATGATGATTTTAGTTCTTTTGGATAAACACCAAGTACTGGGATAGCTGGGTCATATGGTGGTTCCATTCCTAGTTTTTTGAGGACTCTTCACTCTGTTTTCCAGAGTGATTGTACTAATTTGTAGTCCTACCAACAATGTAAGAATATACCTTTTTCCCACGTTCTCACCAGCATTTATTATTATTTGTGTTCTTGAGAATTGCCATTCTTACTGGAGTGAAATGAGATCTTAGGGTAGTTTTGATTTGCATTTCCCTGATTGCTGGAGAGGCTGAACCTTTTTTTTTTTAATGTTTATTTTTTAGCTTTAGGTGGACACAATATCTTTATTTTACACTTATTTGGTACTGAGGATCGAACCCAGTGCCTCGTGCATGCTAGGCGAGTGCTCTACCACTGAGCCACAAACCCAGCCCCTGAACCTTTTTTCATGTATTTTTTGGCCATTAATATTTCTTATTTTGAGAAATGTCTAATTCTTTTGCCTATTTATTAATTGGGCTGTTTGTATTTTTGTTTTCTGACACTGAGTTTTTTTGAGTTATTTATATATTCTGGATATCAATCCCCTGTCAGAGAAGTAGCTGAAAAAAAATTTTTTTCCCCATTCTGTAGGCATTTTCTTTACTCTCTTAATCATTTCCATTGCTGTGTAGAAATTTTTAGTTTGATGGCATCCCACTTATTGATTTTTGGTTTTGTTTCTTGAGCATCAGGGGTCTTGTTAAGGAAGTTGGTGCCTGCACCTATATGATGGAGTGTTGACCCTATTTTTTTCTTCTAGCAGTTGCAAGGTTTCTAGTCTAATTCCTATCTTTGATCCATTTTGACATGACTTTCGTGCTGGGTGAGAGATAGGAGTCTAGTTTCATTCTTTTACATATGGATAACCAGTTTTCCCAGCACCATTTGTTAAAGACTATCTTTTCTCCAACACATATTTTTGGCAAGTTTATCAAGCATCAGATGGCTCTAAGTATGTGGGTTTGTCTTTGTGTCTTCTATTCTATTCCTTTGGTCGTCCTGCCTGTTTTTGCTACTATAGCTCTGTAGTATAATTTGAAATCAGGTAATAGGATGCCTCCTGCATCACTTTTCTTGTTTAGAATTGCTTTGGCTATTTGGGTCTTTTACTCCAAATGAATTTTAGGACTATTTTTTTCTAGTTCTGTGAAGAATGTTATTGGTATTTTGATGGGTATTGCACTGAATGTGTATATTGCTTTTGGTAGCATGGTCATTTTAACTACATTAATACTGCCTAGTCAAGAACATGGAAGGTCTTTGTCTTTCCATCTTCCCTCTGGTTTTGTTTGCAGTTCTGGGGATAGAACCCAGTGCTTCACACACGATAAGCAAATGCTTAACCATTGAGCTATAAACCTAGTCCTTGTTTCCTTTGTTTGTACTGTGGGACATTTCATCTCTTCTAGCTCTTCGAATCTGTACACTCTACAAGAAAAGCCTCTACAACAAGGGAGTAGGGAATCATCTGTAATCATAATCAGAAACATGATTTTTTTTGTGTGTGTGCTGCTGGCTTATGTTGTCCCACAATTATAATTTTGAGGTCTGTTTATGGATCCAGTGAACCTGAACTTCTAACATGGGATGCTTCTATCAGTCTGTCCCTGCCACACCTGACATTCATTCTGCTCTGTTCTATAAGGTAGACAATCTGACATTGGCTGCAAATGTGTGGAGGGCATCAATTAAAGAACTACTGACTATTCCCAAAGGGATGTACTTTGAAACAAGGACAAGTCAGTATACACAGTGGATTCCAGAAGTTTTTCTTTCTTTCTTTCTTTCTTTTTTTTTTTTTGCGGAAGGAGTACTGGGGATTGAACCCCGGGGCATTTTGCCACTGAGCTACATCCCCAGCCCTTTTTACTTTGAGACAGGATCTCACTAAGCTTCTGAGGGGCTTGCTAAATTACTGAAGCTGGCTTCAAACTTGCAATCCTCCAACCTCAGCCTCCCAAGTCTCTGGAATTATGGGTGTGTGCTCAGACCCAGAAAATTTTCCCTAAATATTTTGGCCCCAAATCAGAGCATGTAGTAGCTGTTGTGATTTCCTTCCTTAAAAACTATTATTTTTATTTTTTGCTTTGGTAGCATTGTTAAAGTAGCATTACAGTATAGAAAATTTGGTAATACAACTGTTCAATTTCGTGTATTTTCTTTTAGTCTTTTATCAAGTGTATTTTAGTTTTGTTTTTTTTAATCCACTTTTCTATGTTTAAAACTGTCTTTTTATTTTTATTTTTATTTATTTATTTTTTTTGTGGTACTAAGGATTGAACCCAGGGCCTTGTGTATATTGCTAGGCAAGCTCTTTATCATTGAGCCATATCCCCAGCCTTATTTTAGTTTTTAGTATGATTGAAGTCATATTTAGTGCGTAACTTTATGTTTATGTTTTTCTTTTTCTCACCTGGCATTGTGTAAAAGAATTTTAAAGCAAGTGTGATAGTGCACAACAGAGACAGAAAGATGGCAAATTTGAGGCCAGACTTTGCAACTTAGAGAGGCCCTGTCTTGAAATGGGGATGTAGCTCAGAGGTAGGGCACTTGTCTGGCACATGCAAAGCCCTGGGTTTAATCCCTAGTAAACACACACACACACACACACACACACACACACAAATTACTTAGAAAAGCATATGAAAATAACATTTTTATAAAACAAACTTTTAAGAAAAAACAAAATCACAAGCTTCTACATACATAAAATTCATAATAGTGCCCTCTGCAATTTCACTATCACACTTTCAAAGGTAATATATGGCAAAGGTAATTTTTTTTTTTTACTATTTATTTTTAGTTTTCGGCGGACACAACATCTTTGTTTGTATGTGGTGCTGAGGATTGAACCCCAGCCGCACGCATGCCAGGCGAGCGCACTACCGCTTGAGCCACATCCCCACCCCAAAGGTAATTCTTTTATTACTTTCTTATGCCATGTGAAAAAAAATTGCACTTGCTTTTTTTCCCCACTTGTTTCTTTTATTAATATTGAGGAGTAAATCACACTAAAAAAGTGTTTCTTGCCAGGCACAGTGGCACACACCTATAATCCCAGCAGCTTGGGAGGCTGAGACAGGAGGATCACGAGTTCAAAGCCAGCCTCAGCAAAAGCGAGACACTAAGCAACTCAGTGAGACCTGTATC